AGCGATTCAGAGTCCCCAACAGATACTTGGTTTCCAGACAGTCGGTGGTAACTGTTTTGACTGGTAGTACCACGCTCGTTTTGAGATTCATTGCTTGCTCTTAAGGCTAAGTTCACCTCAGAAGTAGGGTCATTTGGGGATTCAGAATGCAATTTCTTAAACCTATCGAGGCAATTGGAATGTCGGTAACTGGTATCACAGATGTAAGACCTGCAACCTTTGTCATGAGAGCTGCACAGCAGTAGAACAGCATTATGTGGGTGATCCATGCAAACAGGACATGAGACCTCATCCAGTTCTTTGTGAAGAGCATGAGCATCTGACTCAGTACTTAATTTTCGCTTTAAACCAGCCATCTTGTAAGCACTGTGTAAGCTACTCACGCATAAAGTTAGAAACACTGAGCGAGCTTAAAAAATACTACTATGTTTTTGAAAGAATCAAAAGTCATTGCCATATTTCGATCAATCATGTAGCAGCAAACACAAATCATGAACAAATGAAAATAACAATGACCTATGAACACCAATTATAATTTTCATGATCACATGGCCATAAACAGAAGAACATGTATCTTATACTGACTGATGGCCATGAAACTCGCACAGAAACTTTACACATCAAAAGAAACAACAAATTGTTAACTTCACAAAGAGAGATAATAGTTAGCTGAAAATAAACTTACCCACAGAGAGAAATCCTATTAGCAGCCTGTTGAAATCTACTTTCTTACTCTTTGAGCGCGTTGAACTTTAACTTTAAGACACCGATCACTTGTTAAGTCGCTGACCAAAAGCAACCACCAACAAAGTAAACAGTATTAAATAGAAAATCCTTGAGGGAAATGGAGGACACCAAATCCGGCATAAATAACTAAACCACTATTCGTTAAGTTAAGTCGCAGGGCAAACCCAAGTGTCCCAAAACCTGCATTAACATCCCAAAACGTGAAGTAACAATCAAACTCACATAACATTATTATTCGTTAACACGATGTAGATCTGATTCACATATATATATATTCATACAAACCACAATCAAGTTAGTAATCAAGCAACTGATAGCATCATCATGGAAGATAAAGAAACTAGAATCCTAAAACCATAACAAAATTTTCACTTTCAAACATTGGATTAGTAAGAAATCAGAGACATACATCTTCCACTACAATCAACAATACCCAATCACCTTTAAAAAACCATTATATGGATTGACAGTTGTGGCTTAAGTTAGAAAGTTTCAACTTTTACAACAAAACGACAACCTTGGATAAAGAAAACAATCAAAAAGCAAGTAAATCCATTAGGAATCTGTAATCAGAACTCAGATTTCATATTCATGATCATATATAAATAACCCTAAACCAGAACACAAATCTCCAAATTTTCAACGACAATCGGTGGCAAAATAATCAATACCCAAACCCATATCAATCAAATTCCCAAAAAAAAAAAAAAAAGGGTTCAACACAATCGATCCATCATCACACAACAAGAATCCGATCAAAAACAAAGGAAATAATAACGTACAATAAAATCGGGTAAGGTAGTTACAAATTGGAATTCGAAGAGGAGTTATTCGTCTCCAAGGATTCGATTTGGTTGTTTGATTCTCTCTTTCTCTCTATATAAGAGAGAGATTGGATTGGATGATGAAGAAGAAGAAGATGCTGAAATTGGGTTAGGCGAAACAAAGGAGGAGAATCGATTATTTCACTTATTTTTATCACAAAACATCGCACTTGTACATTTATATTTTCACATTATTTTAAATGCAAGAATTGAAATTGTTTTTTAAAAATTAAAAGAAAAACCGCACGCTGTATATTTATTACCCAAAACGACGACGTATCCTTAGAGAGAGAGAGAGATGAATTATCTGCTTCCGACGCTAAGGAAGAAGGAAGAGATCGATCGGATCATTAGAGACACGATCGATAAAGTGCTTGTTCTACGATTCGGTCGTTGCTCCGACAATGATTCTCTTCTGCTTGATGACATTGTATGTATTATTATTCAGACTTTGCTTTCTCTCAGTCTAATAATCAAAAACCCTAATTTCTCGATTACAGCTTCAGAAATCGGCGAGAGATGTTTCGAAATTCGCTACTGTAGCTTTGGTAGACGTTGATTCGGAGGAAGTTGAGGTTTACGTTAAGTATTTTGATATCACTTTAATCCCTTCCACTGTCTTCTTCTTCAACGCGTGCCACATGAAGTTGGATTCTGGGTAAATTCTTGTTCCAAAACCTCATTTTTAGAATTGGATTCATCTAAGTTTTGATTTGGTGATTTTTTTACAGAACTGCGGATCATACCAAGTGGGTTGGTAAATTCCATGAAAAACAAGACTTTATTGACGTTGTTGAGGTAAATAGAACAAATCAATTTCATCAAGATTCCTTAGTATATTTGCAGCAAGATTCAATTTTTGAAATCCTCTGTTTTCTTTTGTATTATTTGTAGGTGATTTTCCGAGGAGCTATGAAAGGGCAGATGATTGTTCATTGCCCGATTCCGCCTGAGAGAATACCAAAGTACCAACTCTTGTACAAGGATGTGTAGAAACTAAGAAATTGGAAATTTAATTTTCTTGTAGTACATTTTACAATGCAAACTCTGTTTCTCATTACCTTATCTTGGAATAATATTTACATGCCATTTTGAGGTTTACATATATGTTTTTCTACACTGGAAGAATGAAATGTCGATGAACTAACCCGCTTCTTGATTCTCCAATGTTGTAAGTCAGGGTTTGTTTTCTCTCTTCTTGGTTTTAGTGACGAGTTCCATTGACATGGACTGAAGTTGGCTTGTTAACTCGGTGAATGGAGGACGAGAATCCCACATTATGGACCAGCTTTTTCCAATCCGGAACACAGCTTTTCGGAATGTGAGGTCAAAGCGTGTGTTCTTCACAACCCCACCCTAGTGCTAAAAGGAGGAAATAGATTAGCAAAAGAGTGGCTGCTGTTATGAGGTAAGTGAGAAAAACTGAGTGATAGTTTTTGACTTACCAATGATTGCTCCACAATGCATATTTGCATAGGGTTCCTCTCTGGTTAGAATCTCCCATAGCAAAATCCCATATGAAAAGACCGATAAATATGAGTTATGTATTCCTACCTGCACAAAACAGGATTTCCAGCTCAAGTAGTGGATTCTTTTGGTGCAACAATGGGAATGAGATTTTAATCAATATGTTACTTTGCATATAGACCGTTGTGGATCCCTAAAATTGACTAGTAAGTTCTTGCATTTGAGATCAAAGTGGACAATGCTCTTTGAGTGCAAATACTCCATGCCAAAAGCAGTATCCGTTGCAATTATTATTCTTTTTCGAGCGTCAAGCAATCTGCATAGGCATTATGACTGATTAAGTTTCTATCAGATTCAGAATGGTAAGGGATATGCAGAGATAATTAACATTCACTATGAACTCCGAAACAGTTGCCAAGGTTCCCCAGTTCCAACAGGGACTCCAGAAAGAAACATTTGGTCTGATAAAGCAAAACAATTCAAACGTCATATCCAAAAAGTGCTGCGAAGGGGAAGACACATCTTGTGCACTTCATACCAAGACATCAGTTACCCGAACCTTCGCATAACGGATGACGGTGACGAAACTAGAAACTAGAAGGCTATAAGAGAAGATAAAACAATACAGCTAGGGCTAGAATCTATGGCATATGACTTATGACTTATAACTAAGGACCTTGGCAGTTCTAGAAATACAACTTAGACTATATGTTTTGCCTCAATAATGTTCTAGAAATGGTAAAAGTCATTATGAATAAAAACAACAAGTGCAAACCTGTCAAAAATTAAGGCTCTTAAGGGCTTTTCTACCGTATTGCGAGGTGGAGGTATCCTTTGTACAATTGCATTCAACATCTCCGTAATACCAATTCCCTCTTGTATCAACCAAATATGCCCAGAAAATGTAATTGTTAGAGAGCCACACTTCTTAAATCTATAAGTAGCAGAATAGCAAAATGATTTTAAAATGCTACAGTCTAACCCAATAACCTACAAAGAATCCGCATTTTCATACAGTATTCACATAAGGCTGATGACTCTGGAATAGAAGAAACAAGACATATAACACAAAGAAATGTTTAACGCATAAAAGCAAGTGTACAGAATATTAGAGATGATGAGAGATTAGATGGGAAGAATTATATTTACTCTCATGAATCATAACATAGGAATTACATGTGTTTATATA